ACGTCTGTGACATGGCACATTGTATGATAGGGAATTCAAAACTCATTTTTCCGATATAGGAATAGACTCACTGTTTTTTGTTTTTTGTTCTGGCTTTGTTAGCCTGTTGTCTTGATTTGTAATAGTCATAATTAAACACAATGCTTTTACATATTTGCCTCAAATTAATAGGCAACGATGGTCATGAAGTTTTCTTGTTCTTCTTCAACCATGTAGGATTATCAAGTATGTGCGCGAGGCAGACCCACACAAAACAGGTCCGTGGAAGCTGGCTATTCTCTTCACCGTGTTTACATTGTTTGGAACACTGCACCTGGTTAACCAGAACCTTCACTTCTACCCATCCCCAGCGATTGGTAACAGTACTGCAGGCACCCTTCTGCAGCGACTAACACATGTGGAGTGACACTCTTAGAGAGTTTGATGTTTTTAACTTCACTTAGTTATACTTAGTAATTTAGTACATTCGTATTCTTTTCGTCTGGGCCGAAATCTTTTACGTATATCCAAACTACGTTTAATTACCTCCATGAAAAATGGAGGCATTGTTTTTGGCGTGTGTGTGTGTGTGTGTGTGTTTCTGTTTCCGCACATTTGTAGTCAGCATAACTTCAGAACGTCTTTATGGATTGTGATGATATTCTGTACATTGGTAGGTCTTAGGAAGACAAAGGCCAAGGTCAAATTTGGACCTCCTGGTGGATGACCTTGGTACTGCAGCAGAACTTCCGGTTTTTGTATCTTTTGTCCTGAACATGCTATGGTGTTGAAGTTTTAGTGACAGATAGCTCTTTCTGTCAGGAATAAGTGGTGTAGATTTTGTCCCCCTAGCAGCTTGTTCTGGAACTGCAGGGGGCTTTCGGGCGAAAACTTTAAAAGCCAATAATTCCAGATAGGAACAACGTATGTTCATCATTTTTAGTGTGTAGGTAGCCGAGAGAGAGTTGTACATAATTAAATACAAATTATGCAAATGAGGGCTTAATCTGCATAATTAATAAGGAAATTCTATAATTACAGTGTTTTATTTAATAGTACTTTCATACATGTAATGTTTGTAATCTATGGCAGATGGAACATTAATAGATACCAATTATGCAAATGATGACCTAATTTGCATAATTCATGTGAAAATTCTGTGATTCCTTATTGATGAATGATGGGCATTTTATATCTTGAGATATTTGTAAGTTACTTAAAGGTTAACATCACTATGCATATATTATGTTAATGTAGAGGTCATTTGCATAATTATCGAGGAGATGTTGAAATAAAGTATGACAAAGAAGAGGAATTGTACACGAAAAATATTGTAACTTGAATTTGATAAACCATGAATTGAACTAGATTGTGCTAATTACGACCTTATTTCCATAATCAATGAGCCAAAAGAAACATTTACAAAAACTCATATATTTCATGGAGGTATGAAATCTCGGAATTCTTGTTTACTTTGATGTGTCATTGCATACACCCTGTCTAAGCTACCTATTTACCGAAAATCATGAAAGTCAGAGCCCGCTGTTCCTTTCTTCATTTATTCTCATTGAAACACTTAAATGAAAACGCATCTGAATTTTCCTTATCAGAACAATTACTCATTCCTGCATCGTTCACGTATTATCAGAATCTTCTCAGTAAAAGTTAACAACAACGTTTGAACATAATAACTTTAAACGGTTGTTATTACTATATCATAAGGTTCTGGAATTTGGGGAAAGACTGGCGAGTATGCTGTATGTACATGCATTTACAGACATTACAATTTTCATTTTGAAAATCCAGGAGAAGCTATGCTTACTTTCCGGAGTCCCGAAAAATTGATGTAACTTTAGATTTTGCAGGGTAAACACCTCCGTAAAATTGCCATTCGGTTTGTGGACTGGTAGCCTGATTAAATCTGCGCTCCTAGCGGCCGGCCCGGTATTACACCAACCGTCCACCCCCCACCCCCGCTGGTGTAATACCGAGCCGGCCGCTAGGAGCGCAAATTTAGTCAGGCTAGTGGACTCAGAGAAGCTGTATTTTCCTCTCTCGCAAAGTTCATAACAGCTGTCAGCAATTTCAAACATCACATAAACAACAATGTTCACAGTAATGCCTCCTGGATATCAAAGTAGGATGGTATCACAATAATATAACACAGTTAATAGATGCTGCGATGTCCACAACAAATACCAGTACGCTAATATCATACATGCATTAACAGCACCATAAGGCCATGTTGATTTGATTATATGGATGACATCCGCGCGCGCATGAATTTTCGGCCGTTTCCAAAAAAAAAAGTTTTGAACCATACTGTAAATCGTACCAAACAGTTGCAAAATGAGCAAAAATATACCGTAAGTTGCCAAACAAATTATTAAAAATGATACCAATGTGGTAGTTTGCCAAAATCAAACGAAAAAAGACAACAGTGTCAAGAAATGAATTTGAAGAGTAGATTATTCGCTATACCATATTCTATGTCATTTGTTCAACTTTCATGACCACGTAGATTTCATAATGAAAGCTTAACTTTTTTTTTTTTGCAAAACTTTTTTTTTATTCGCACGCGCGCATCAGTTCTGGGGTTCCCAGAGGATGTCATCCATATAATCAAATCAACATGGCCTAAGCTGTAACTATGGACTATACCATAGCACTCGTACCGCAGGGGTGTCGACTTATTATTATGCTGTACGTTAAACATTGCTAAAATGCACCAAAGTACTATGTTTCTTAAGTACTTTAGTAACTAACAACAAACGAAAATTCAACAAAGCTTTTAAATCGAACTTAGATTACATACTTCATATTCAAATCACAGAAATGTTGCAACTTTTGGCATATTTTGATGCCTATCAAGGCCCGGCTTGTTCTTGTTCCAAAGTAGTTTTCTTTAAGCCCTGCATACATACAGTATAACACCGAGAACATACAAACAAGCAAATATTAGTTTTCAAGAAAGTATATACAGTTCAATACGTCATAACAAAATCGTTGTCCATACTCGTAGTCCTATTCCGCGCCGGTCGTGCAAGCTCATCGCTGTTGTAGGCCACAGAGGACGGGTCCTCTTTTTTTAATGATTGAAGCAAAATGTGTGTTTGTAACTGATATTGAACTATTCATTTGAGCATGTTTGGATAGATTTTAATGGCCCGATGCCACATCCTATACTCATAGTCTGTAAGGTGTTTTTTTCTTGTAAGGTTTTCGTGTGTATTGCAATGTTAGGTAGAATATGTCTAAGGGTTTGTGTTAGATCATAGGAAGAAATAAAATGCATAAAATCATGAGGCTGGTTAATCTCGCTGGCCTTGCCATGATTAATAAGCATTTTATCAGGGGTTCGCACTGCGCAATGTCACAGATTTTCGAGTGATTTTTTTTTTCTTTCACGAAAAGCAACAACGGCATAATTTCTGGGTTCCTGGGCCAGAGGCATTGTCCGGTATTGTTTGTATTTAGATGTGTCTATGGTCCAGTTCAGGTCAAGGTTAATGTTCGGAGTTTATTCAATTGGGTCCGGAGTCTTAGCTTCTTGACTTATATCTGAGCCTTGTGGCTGTGGAGAGATGTTAGAGTTGACGTAGGTGTGAATTTGTGGAAGTGGATCCGGAATCTTCTCTGACTTAGCTGTCTCCGAGCCAGAAAGTCATGAAGGACTGTTAAGGTCGAGGTAAATGTTGGGATCCTCGCCTTCCTCTTTTTTCTCCGTCCCCGAGCCTTATGGTTGTGATGAGATTTTAGAGTCAATATGTAGGTGTGGGTCCGTGAGGTGGATCCGGAATAGCTTCTGCCTGAGTCGTCTCCAAGCCTGAAGGGCGTGATGGGCCGTTGAGGTCGAGATAAATGTTGGGACCCTCGTCTTCTTCTTCCTCCTCCGTCCCCGAGCCATGTGGTTGTGAAGAGTTGACGTTGGTGTGGGTTCGAGGATCCGGTGCCTTCTCCGAGCCAGGCAGGCGTGGTGGGCCGTTGAGGTCGAGGTAAATGTTGGCACCCTCGTCGTCGTCTTCCTCTGTCCCCGAGCCTTGTGGTTGTGATGAAGAGTTTTCGTAGGTTTGGGTCTCAGGTTCCGGTGTCTTCGAGCCAGGCAGGCGTGGTGGGCCGTTGAGGTTGAGGTCGAGGTAAATGTTGGCACCCTCGTCGTCGTCTTCCTCTGTCCCCGAGCCTTGTGGTTGTGATGAAGAGTTTTCGTAGGTTTGGGTCTCAGGTTCCGGTGTCTTCGAGCCAGGAAGGCGTGGTGGGCCGTTGAGGTCGAGGTAAATGTTGGGATCTTCAACCTCCCCTTTTGCCTCCGACCCCGAGCCTGTGTAAGAGGCAGTCTCGTGTCGTGGGGATGGCGCCGTTCCTAAGCCTCTTGGTTGTGATGCGACGTTGGATTTGGCGTAGGTGTTGGTCTGTGGAAGTGGATCCGGTATCTCTCCCACTTTAGTCGTCTCCGTGTCCGAGGGGTAGTAGTCAGAGTCGCTGCCGGTGCCTGGCCTGTCAGACATTGGAGGTGGGTTTGTGGTCTTTCCCTCTTCTTTCCTCGAGGCTTTGATGGGTTTGTTGCTCTGAGGATGAGGGTCTTGGTTGGGTGTTGCACCTCTTGGTCCCTCCAGGTCTGCAGCATACATGGGATTTTCCAGCTGCGACGTTTCGGCATACGGATCTATGGGTGTGTTGTCCGGGATCTCAGCATAGGTGTGGTGAGTAGGCAGAGGTTTTCCAGTGGCGACGACAGCGGGTGGTGGCTGGTACTTTTTGTAGTGTGTCAGAGGCAGCGCCATGACTTGAGGATGACGCCATTTCCAAGCCTTGTGGTTCCGGTATCTCCCCCACTGTCGTCTGCGTGTCCGGTGGGTAGTAGTCAGAGTCGCTGACGTTGCTTTGCTTGTCGGACCGTGGAGGTGGCTCTGGGGTCTTCTCCTGATTTATCCTCGAGCGGTGTGGCTGTGAGTCGTTGGCTTTGTTGGGCTCGTTGCTTTGGGGATGAGGGTCTTGGTTGGATGTTGCACCTCTTGGTTCCTTCAGGTCTGCAGCATACACGGGATTTTCCAGCTGCGACGTTTCGGCATACGGATCGATGGGTGTGTCGTCCGGGATCTCAGCATATGTGTGGTGAGGCTTCCCAGTGACGACAGCAGCGGGTGGTGGCTGGACGTTTTGTAGCGGTATGCCTCCGACGTTGTCGAGTATGTAGCGACGCCGAAGATGTCGCCTTTTTGCCTTCTCCGGAGCCTGCGGCAAGCGGTCGCGACCTTGTACAGGAAGAAGAGAGCGAGGCCTGCACTTGAACCAATGACGATCATCAACACGGGGTGCCATTTTCTGCCGTCAGCCATCGGAGTGGTGTCGCCCTGCTTGGTGTTGTTGCCTGTCGGTTTGGTGATCCTCACGGACTGTTGGGCAGGTGCCGTGCCGGTGTAAACAGCGGTGATCACGGCATCCCACTGCGCTTTGCCAGCTAGTGGAGTGGCGTCGTCCGTGTTCTTGATCTTGTCGGTTGGGTTGGTGGTACTTTCTGTGATCTTCTTGTTCTGCTGGGTAGGTGTCGTGCCGGGGTAGACAGGGCTCTCCGTGGGCTTCCATTGTGCTTTGTGAGCTTCTGGAGTGGTGTCGTCCTGGTGGTTGGTCTTGCCCGTCGGTTTGATGATCCTTTCTGTCGCCTTGTCGTTCTGCTGGACCGGTGGTGTCGCCATGGTGTGCCCTTGCCTCTGCCATCCATCGCTGGTGTCATTTGACTTGGACAGCGATAGATTCACGTCGCCTGCTGCAGACTGCACGACGCACCGGAAACTGCCGTTGGTCCAGGAACGGTAGGCTTGCGGACTCATCTTGAGGGTGTAGGTGGACTTGCCGATGTAGGGAAGGCCGTGGTGGGCTGTTTCCTGCGCCGTTGCTGGTTCCGGAGATTGCCTGGTGGGGATCTCGTGCTCCAAGCTTGTGGTGACAGCGCCACCCCATAGGTTGAGTGCCTCTCCTTCTCCAACGGCATTCCCTCCTGGATCCAACCAGCCGATCCCAGGCTGTTTCTCCCAGAAGACCTCGCAGACGAGAGTGGCTCCGTGATCCTGGCGTGAGACCCTGGCTGTCGGTGGCGGGCATGGCATTCTTGAGAACCGCCTTGCTACGGCAACCCTTGACCCCGAGATGACTGGCGGGTAGCTGCACAGCAATTTGTTGTAGGCTTGGCGATCCAACGCAGACTTCAGGTCTTCCAGTGCACAGGTGCAGCGGAAAGGGTTGTTTGCAACGCTGAGACGCTTGACAGCGAGCAACTCCACGGGGATGACCAGCAGCTTGTTGTGGTCAAGGGAGAGCGTGTGCAGCCCGGGGACCTGGTCGAACGACTTCCCGTCGATGTGTGAGATGTTGTTGTAGCACAGCTGTAGCATCCCAAGCTTCGTCAGCCCTGTGAAGTACCACTCCTTCACAGCACCGAGCCTGTTGTGGGTGAGGTTGAGGCAGTAGAGCTCTGTCAGCGGCTGGAGGGCGTTCCTCTCGATCTCGCTGATCTGGTTCCAGGACAGCTCGAGCTTGGTCAGCTTCTTGATTCCGCCAAACCAGTTGCCGATGGTTTGGATGGCGTTGTTGCTCATGGACAGCCCCAGGAGGTTTGGCACGGCCGCAAGCGTTTCGTGGTCAACCGTCAGGATCTGGCCAGGACCCAGAAGCAGTATGCGGACCCGCGCAAGACTGGGCAGGGCCTTCAGCTTGCCATCGCTGTCGGAGTGCCCCGCCACTTGCAGCTTTTCCACAGCGGCTGGGAGACACCCGAACTGATTCGCACTGATGGCCTGCCCGGTCGTGTTGCACATTGCGCAATGGGTAACCCCCCAAATAAAGATATTCATCATTCCACGCACTTCACACCTGCCATCAGAGCTTACCTCACACAGGTCAGAACAAGATGGGCCAGCCTCAGATCGGGCAAACGCAAGAAGGAAGAGGAGGAAAGGTGACATTTCCGCCTCTTTCTCAATAGTATTCTAGCCAAGCCTGGCACTGCAAATCTACTAAGCATACACTAAGCAATCATTGAAAAAGGCAACAGAGTGTTCTATAGTGTCCTTGCTTGACTCAGCTGAGCTGGTCGTTGCGGATTCACCTCAGGTTGTAGCTAATAGCCACCCGTGTTGCAAACTTCAAACTCGAATGTCAAGGCGCAACCTGAAAAAGAGGAACGGAAATTGCTGAAAATATTTCATGTTTAGGCGTATGTAGTGACCTAAAAACATGGATTATGAATAAAAACTTCAACCAGCACGAAAATTGAAAATGGCAATCTTAAGTGCGAAAAATTGCTACATTCTCAAAAATGTCGAAATTATGAGGTAGAACGTCAACTTGCCGTATTGACCCGTTTTACATCCCATGGAATTTTATAAAAAAACTATTCTTGAGATAATTCAGGAATATAATTATAGTGGAATCCTTATCCAAAAAGTACCCAAGCACTGCATTTTATAATGCCATGTGTAACAATGCTGTGCCTTTACAGCACCGCATTGGATGTGTATTTATAATTAATGCATTGTCATTTTAGCTTATACTATTAAGTGTCATCAGGAATCATTTACCATAAAATGTTTAAACTTGAAGAGCATCTTAAATAGCTTCTACTTCTACTTCTATACAATACTAAGCAATAATCATTCTGTGTGACCACAGTGACTGTGTATTTATTTATTTATTTATTCATAATTGTAACACGACAATACAAAGTGTGCACTAGGCAGCAAGTATGCTGATAGCGTGCACACCTAACACATACCTGGACATATGGCATAGAAAAACAATAATAAATATGTAACGTTAGTGCCTTTTATCCATAACATGTTATGTTAAAATTTGAATATATGGGCAGCCTAAAGAAAATGTTAACCCTACCTAGACCGGGCTTTTTTTGACATGGGGGGACCGGGGGGGGGCTCTTTTGACCCCCCCCTAAGAACTCGCGAACGGTATGTCGTATGACCACCAAATGTTCTGAGAATGGTGTACTAGTAAAATTTTATCATATCTACAATTTTTATGTCGTTATGATGTAATATGACGTCATCATGACGTCATTAATGTGATTTTATTGGCCAAAACCGTCTAAATAGGTTTTTCCCTGAAAACTAAATGGTTTTCAACATAACTGTACCAAAAGTGTTTATGACAGAATATTATGGTGTACTAAGTCTTATGTTGCCCATAGCAACACCGATGACGTCATAAAATGACGTCATGCATATTTAAGATATCCGCCATCTTGGATCACCAAGTTTGGCCGTTCTACGGCTAGTCGTTCAGACGCTAGGTGACATCAACAGAACAGCCAGATTCTTACCCTACGCCTCGACCCTGGCCTGAGTTGACCCCACGTAACGTCAGGGATGATTCACGAACTGATTTCCGCATATCATGGTGAAACTGCCTGAACAACAACAACAACAACAACAACAACAACCAAACAATTAAAATATGCATTCCACGAGAGCAACTCTATTGAGTGACATATTGAAATTACAGGAAATATAATCATAGCCTGTGTGGGCATTTGACAAAATGTGCATGCTAATATTTTTTATTATATTTCAACATGTAATCACAAGACGTGGTGACACTCAAGTGTTTTTCAACTTAATAATATATTAATGCCGCCACCAACACATGGGACAATACAATACTCATTTTCACCTGAGCGAAGTGAGGAAAGTGCCTTTCCCAAGAGCACAAGATCAGTGGCGTGTCAGGACTCGAACCCGGGACCTCTTGGTTCCGAGTCGAGCACTCGGCTGCTACGCCACACGACCCCACATGCTAATGCTAATGCTAATGCTATGTTAATATTTTAGGCTTGTTTCTCTCGTCAAATCATTTAAACCAACGAAATAGATTTGAAAAGATTAAAACCACATTGCCTTTAGATTTTGAAGTGTAAAAGCTTGCCACATCCATAAAAACATCTGAACAAGCAATAGACATCTTCCCTCCATGAACGAGGTTGGTGTTGTGTACAAACAAACCACCCCATTAGCAAGGCCGGCAGGTCAATGACCCAAAAACAACCAGACCAAAGAAATATATAGCCTGTCAAACAGGAGGTAAAATAGATACACTGTGGTGATAATGTAGAAATCCTTTTAGATTAAGCAATACAAATATACGACAAACACAAAGAGACTCAACAACTACCCACATACCAAAAATTATACCAAACCATCCACCAGATTTTCCAAACATTCAACACAAAAAGACCAACGTTAAAAATTTTGTAAATATCAAAGGCAAACAGCTAGGAAACCCAAATTTAAACCACTAAACCATAATAATAACAACTACATGCTACCTTGATATCGCACAAACAGTCCATAACGCGCCAACAATAGAATAAAAAAATTAACTGCAGTACCAAGGTCAATCACCAGGGGCTCAAAGTCAACCTACACAATATCCAAGGCCCCATCCATCAATCTGCCAAATATCATACAGTTCCTTCTCACCGATCTTCAGATATCAGACCAAAACATGAAACGGAGCAAAAACAATACCCCCATTACATGGAGGGGTAATTATAGAAGGTGGAAACTATTATCCTGTGTTAGCCCCTCCCCCAATAGATATCAGTGCTGTATTTTGACCTGAAGTGATTCAATAGTAGAGAAACTGATTATATGCAGAAACTGATCAAGCACTGCCTTTTCTGTCCACACAAAAATGCAACAGTTCTGTATTATAAATGATCGTACTATTACCAGTAATAAACCAGTCGTGGGATCGTCACACGACCAAAAGCTAAAGTAAAGGGATTCTTGGAAACGTTTTCCTGTCTTGCTACGGAAAAGACCGTCGTTTTAGAAAATATAGATCCTTCTATTATTATAGTTATTTCACAGCTTGTTCAGAAATTTGCACGACCAATGTTATACGCAGCAGGTATTACCATGATAGATATGTTTTTTTATTAGCACACACAAAAAAAGATCGTAGAAGTTTTAGAAGAATGATGAAGTATTTTGAAATAGATGATATATTTTCGTATTTCGCTCTTTTTAACGTGTAATATTTACATGTACGACCAATCTTTCACTCGCAGGTAAATATTGAACTACTCTTTCTCTATTTCCACATACAGATAATTCTAATCATCATAACGATAGGTGATCATTGAATAGCTTACCTTGTTTGTTGATCATCCTTGCATCATGTTCTTGAGTCCTTCTGCAATTTCTTAAAGAACAAGCCGCTCCTTAGAAGTGGTGCAGCATCTTATCTTTTCCAGTCTCCGTGCTTTATGATAATGTTGTCAAATAGGCATTAGCGTTAGATTTCAGCATTTCAGCGTCGACCAATCAGGAGAAGGGTTACTTAGTGCCCAGTTTGATTCCAGGTTCCCGGATGTAAATATGCCACCTATCAAATTAGCTTAGTAAAAGAGAGTATATGAGTAGGTCCATCTCTTGGACTTAATGTTAATTTTGAAATTCGGTTTATTTTCTTATGTACTGCACTATCCTATTTTTGATAATATAAGGAGTTTACGCGTTTGTTTCATTATACGGAACACAAACAAAAAGACATGAATATGCACGAAATGCTCTAATCCGTCTGGAACAAGGCAAAAATAGCGTCAATAGAGTGAGAGTAATCTCAATAATTTCCTCGTCATCCCTTTTAAGAGGCGAAGCTGGCAGGGAGGTAATGGATATATTCAAGTCACCTTGTACCGTGAGGTGAAATATTGTGTAAATATTGTCTGGCCGCGGGTGGCAATATCTTTTTACCGAATTAAATAATACAAAAAATTATGTCATAACCAAGAGTTTTTATTCAGCCGACGTTTCAGTGATCATCTGTTGTATAAAACACTTATTTCTAAAAAAAAAGTTTTTTTTTTCATTCAGTGACTTTGCCCACTTGATGAAACTTTTCAAGGACATGTCTTTTTTTCTACTTTTATAATATGTTCAACCATCATGAGTACCTAGATTTCAGAATGAAGGGAACTTTTTTTTTTATTCGCACGCTCGCAGCAGATTTGGGGTTCCCAGTGGATGTCATCCATAGAATGAAATCAACATGGCCTAACCTAATTGTCTAATTGAGAAAATGCAAATTATGGTGATTCCGTATCAGATGGTAAGACCACGCTGCTGCTCAGAGCAAGATGGCAAGTCACGGTTCAGGGTTGGACAAGTCCTATTGCCCACTTGCCCAGGGCAAGTAAAAGTACAGTTCAGGCAAGTAAATATCCCCCTGTACTTGCCCGATTGGGCAAGTAAATTTTTGGGATGTGGCATTATGCCCCAGTGTTTGGAGCAAAATATCTCATCATTTTCCCATAATGTATTCCTATAATATGACTTTTTGTCAGGGAACCATTTGCAAGTCTCAAACCTCCTTACTTTGGAAAATATTGGTCAAGCATAGAACAATATAAAGTGCTGAGTTAACTGAAAAAATTTCTTTGCGGTAAAAATGTATGAAATAGGTCATTTATATTTTGCATTGGGCAAGTAAAAAGTTGGTTCGGGCAAGTAGAAATGACCATGTGCTTGCCCGATGGGGCAAGTGTATTTTTGGAAACTTGTCCAACCCTGCGGTGCATGGACAGGGAAGAACTCGGTAGTTAAAATTCGCGATCGTCTTTTAAGACGAACTACGTCCGTTTAAGGAGGTGAGTCGCATTTAACATTGTCCTCTATGTTCTGGTATTTGGGCCGAACTCGTTGCAATTCGTTGGGGTCGTGTGGCGCAACGGCAGAGCGTTGGCTCAGAACCAAGAGTTCCCGGGTTCGAACCCTGCCATTTCGCCGATCTTGTGCCCTTGGGAAAGGCACTTTACACGCCTTTCATGGATGGGGGCCTGGCGAACCCCATCTCGTATTAAGCCACAAAAAAGGCAGCAGTATCTTCTGCTAGGTGGCTGCCTCACAAAAAAGAAGAGACGGAATGAAGCTAACACACAGAATGGCGTAAATTATTTGCGCCGGTGACGATTCCATGTGTTTAAACCCGCACTTAATAAAAGCCGCCGTTCGGGGACGCTTTTTTCATGTCCGTTTTGAACTAACATGACTACATTAGATACGCTCGTTTCTTCCTCTGTTTTCTGAATTTTTTACTGATTTATATGCATTATATAGCAGCGACACCTGTGCTGCAATGCGATGTGAACTAGTCAGAGTTGCCCTGAGGAAGGTGACACACGGTCACCAAAACGTCGGCTAAATAAAAGACTTGGTTGTGTAAAAATATTTTCTTCACTGCTTCAGTTGGTGAATACAGCAAGAATGCTGCCTTGATCTACTCCGCTCACCTACTTAGTATGTAGTGGAGTAGTGCTGTGTTGCTTGAGGAGATGGATGTCATCAGACGGTGCAACCTTCCTTGGGCGTTTCGACCCTCAACCGTGACGCCCTCGAGTTGTTGGGTCCAGCAGTGGCGGCCAACTCACTGCACATCCTCTCCGCCAGGCTTCCAGCAACTCTTCTACTCCATAACCAGCAGGACGACCTCTCTGCCGCCTCACCCAGCTTGCGAACTGCGACCTTTCTCTCCTTCCCTTTCACACCTATGGCGGTGAACAGCTTCCATACTGACTGGGCCGGAAAGCCACATCAATCTCGGCAACAACCCATTCTGGTACAGCCACGCCTTAAACTTCCCTGGGAGGCCTCAGTCTTACCAACCTGATGAAACTATTCACGGATGCATTATTTAAGCCACCTTTTCCCATAATGTTCTGTCGATATAAGATGTGCTTGAATGCTGTTGAACTGATGTTTTGAATAGCATTCTGTGTGTTGTTGGTTAATCACAGTTCTGAGGTATTTTAATTGAGGTACTTTGATTTTTCCATGGTCATGATATAATACGTTTTCCTAATAATATGTTGACTTGATTTAATGTTGACTGCAATTTTGCTCTGCTCTTTACCCACTCAGAACTTGCTCTTGGCCTCCACCCAAAGCAGGTTATAGAAATCAAATGATGTGAATATTGCAATGTATGATGCTCTGTGAGTAATTGTTCTACTATTATTTGGCCTGTGATCTTTCTGAATGTGTATTTCTTTTACAACCTAGGCTTGAGATGATGGTAAATTGTATAGCTGACATTGTGGGACCTGTTTCCTGTGTGTGCTGTGGGACCTGTCAGCTATCCTGTGTACCTGTCCACACTCTTAACGGTCAGTTGGGTGGAAAGGGACTCCTTAAAATCTCAATTTTGCAACGCAGAGAAGCAATAGTGCTGCCGTGATGAGGTTGTGAAGCATTAACGTTTGAGTTAAAATACACCTTATGTTAAATACGGAGACGGACATGTGTTGCTGGCCTAACAAGCTGAATGAATAAATAAAAGACCTTTATTTTACATTTGTGCTCTAACAAGCTACATGTAATTGTAAGTACAGATCATGAATAGACAGGCAAAAGAATACAACAATAACACTTAAACTATACATACTAATGTGAGCTACTATTTACAGGTTCAACTTCTTATAGCTTCTTGAGACAGTCACATATGTACGAGCATATGGGGATAATGATACATTGCTTGTCAATTTTCATAAGGAATGCGAATTTTTATATTTCATTTAAGGATCTAAAATATCTGTGACAAAAATCTTGTTACATGTTTGTCAGATTTCAGGTGGCAAGCTTGTTTGTGCAAAAATGAAAAGCCTCGGGCCAAGGACATTATACAGGGGGTGTCCTTTTACGGGTCAATAACCTCTGGTGAGTGTCTGTGCGTAACTGGGTCACAGGTTGACTAATTAGGGAGTGTCAGTGTGAGAATGTTAACATGCACCCTACCAAGGTAGCAGTTAAGCCGTGTTTAAGTGAAATCACCCAAACCGCGATTCGGGTAACTCACATTCCTCACATCTGGTGAAACCGTGTCCGATCACAATTCGCTTGAGCTACATTTATTGCTGTTTGATGATAACACGCAAGGTGGCGTGTTATTAATGTAAGAGGTCAACGGCCTGCTTGTTGATGCCCCCCTCCCAGCGTATCTCGGCCGAATGCCGACGTGGTCCCGCCAGAGGCGGTGAAGCTCGTCCTAGAACGGACACATTATTTGACCATTACTGCTCTTTAAGTTGCTGCCACGTAAATGTTGGTATTGCATATAAATAAAGAAATATCACCCCGTAATCCATGACCAGGCGAAGTTACATTGCAATCACATTGCGTTCAGACGCAAATCGCGATGCGGGGAAACCGATTCGAAACCACCTCTAGAAGTGGCTTGGGATCGAGGCGCTTTCAATGTGATTTCGGAGCGTTCAGATGGAGCCACTTGAAACCGGCTTCGGGGTAAACCACATGTAAACCGCCTTGGGTGATTTCACTTAAACGCAGCCATAGTCGCCAAAGTTGCATTGTTTGCCGGTTTAGGCAGCAGGGAGAAGGTCAGTCTGTCTCCAACCCGTTCGACCACATCTATGACCTTTGGCCTACTTAAACATGGCTAAGGTTATGAAGAAATCTTTAATCACCATTCCAGTCTTATTTACTGTAGTTTTGATTTTATCTTTCTTCCTGCTGCAGAAATACAACCTTACGAAGTAAGTATTTTTACGTTACCTTCTTGTGTTTGAGTAACAATAAACAGAACAGTAGTTTGTCAGGCTAGACCAATCGTCTATTTGTTTGTCGGCATGATAGCCTTAAGTCCACCTGTTCTACCATGTCTTCCATGTACATATGTATGTGGAGAATTGCAATAAATGAATGAATAAATAAATAGATAAATAAATAAATTATGGCTCTGCTTTGGAAATGTTACCTTTCTAATTTTGGTACTAAAAGGTTATTTCAGGGGCGAATAGAGATTATGTAGACAAAGTAGATTCGTACATACATAATGCTTTAAAATTAAACTTAATAAATTGATATGTCTTTTTCGTCAGTTCAGTGCTTTGAATTAAAGTTCTTTTAAGTGAAGTATAATCGACCGTAAATATTGTTTTTGCATCAGCTTTAACACAAAACCCCTGATGAAGAGAAAAGTTACAGCCTTTGGAACTAAGGGTTCATTCCTCGACTGGAACAACGTTACATCAGCATTTCGTATTAGGTAAGTGTATCTCAACATTTATCCGGTTGCTTGAGTGACTGATTTCTTGTGTAGATAAGTATATATTCAAAACATTTTTGCAAAACACTATTATTTATTAAGAGGGATCCATATACAACGAAAGACAAAGACAATCTGGAAATGGTACAAAAATGAAGCTGCAAGATTCTGTATAAACAAGGAGAAGTCGTAGACATCGTCCCTCCATGAAATAGCTTGTTATTTTGTAATTTTTTTGGTGTATTTTAATAGAGATATTATGAGTCAAACTTTGTTTTTATCAGCAGAATGATAGATGTCTATAGATGTCTATCCTTTAAGAATTTTGTTGTGGCACTTCGTATTGGAAGGGGTTGCCCAAGCGTTTAGTGTCTTGTTACCATGGTTTGTTTGAGGTCAATGACCTCTCAAGCACAACATAATAACAAACCACAGATGACCCAGTTCCCTGCTGAATGACCGATTAAAGATAAGATATATTTCCTGCAGACGCTGCCTCTTGAGGTAAAAATAGATTGGCCTGACCTGCCAGCTGGAGGTATAAACAAAAACACTCTGTACCAATTTGGGGTCAAACAGACCATCCTATTATGAAATAGGGGTGAAAATGTGAAAATCCTTTTAAATAAGCAATGCAAATCTACGACAACCTGCTAATGCACGCTAAAACGCAAAGACAATCAGCGTCTACCCACATACCAAAAATGATCGCCAACCATCCACCGGGTTCTGAGATCATTCAACGCAAACAATCTGACATTGAGATAGCAATTCCGGTTCAAAGCAAACAGCTAGGGGGCCCAAATTTACATCATTAAACCATTGTAACCACAACTACATGCTACCTTAGCATCGCACACACGGACCATAACGTGCCAACAATAGAATAAAAAAATTAAACTGCAGTACCAAGGTCAATCACCAGGTGCTCAAAGTCAACCTACACAATCTCCAAGGCCCCATCCATCAATCTGCCAAATATCATACAGTTCCTTCTCACCGATCTTCAGATATCAGACCAAACATGAAACGGAGTAAAAACAATACCCCCCATTTACATGGAGGGTAACAAATATGAAAGAGGTGCTAGTGTCACGGAAATGGAAAGAAACCTACAGTGGGTCGGTGTCACTGGAAGACAGACAAAAAAAGACGACTTTGCATTATGTACAAAATGACTAATAAACTGGTGGACGTACCAACTACTAAGTACCTAACACCAGCCCAGAAAAGAACAAGAAATAGACATGCCTTCAAGTACCAGAGTTATCAACCAAGGATTGAGGTGTTCAAAATTCAAGGCCTACCAATCCATGCTACCGATAATATAGCCTTTCTGGAGAAGGCAATAGTTCAAATGATAGTGCTGACAATAATCTTTCTTTATTTTTTATTCTTTATTTCAGGCATAACTCACCCATATAAAACATACATATAAAAATACGCAGAGTAACAATAGAAAAAAAACATGTCTATACGTACAGACGGTCCCAGATATTGCGGAAGAATCTGTTGCGGAATATTACATCAGATTTAAGAACAGATTGGATAATGTTGTTTGAGGAGTTGTACAGACGAGATAGGAAAGAATAGCATTGTTTGTGCCATATAGCGTCAAATGTATCAGTCATATATGTAGACAAGTTAAATATTTTATTTTTATTTTGTTTCAGCAATCAGACAAGTCGCTATTTCAACCTATCAACAAATTTCGCCATCTATAACCAACGTAAGAAAAATGGAACGCCTGTTGTCATGGCAACACCAGTGGGACATTACCGGACATGCGCAGTTGTCGGCAATAGTGGCATTCTCCGTGACAGCGGCTGTGGGGACGACATTGACCGCAATGATTTTGTTATCAGAGTAAATGATGCTCCATTAAAGACATTCGAACAGGTGACAATGCCTTCATGTCATTTTGATAACTATAAGGTGCTAATGCAATGTTTTATTAGTATCTTTACAAGTAAAGATCTTAAAGGCGTCCAGTGCAGTTTTTAGGGCTGGGAAACCCGATTTTTCAAAGCCAATATTATAGTCATTTATCTCCATACTGAGTTGAACCCACACTATCCCAATGTATCTTGACCATCATGGAGCAAAATTACCAATTTCCTGACGGAAAATGGTTAATGGAAGAGCCTTGGGCTGATTTTACAGGGAGCGGGTCTCTAAAGCCCGTTTTGAACAGGGTTAGCACATTACTAATTTTAGCAATCGAGTTTCTTTATTTTACCAAGTATGGTATACAAATCCATGGGGGTTTAACTCCACGATAAATTTAAGGGACAGAAAGCCAGTCCTTGTAATGATGTATGCTCTTAGGGTTATTAATGAAAGTTTATTGCAAATACTTGCCCGAGGGCTAATTGCAGTTACAAACAACATAGAAAGAAAATACAGTGGTATGTGAGACTATATCTACGTCTAACATTATACTATATTCTACAACATGACATGACACTAGTTTTACTGGGTTTGACTTCTTCTTTTTAGGCAATGGAAGAAGAATTTAGCCACTTCTTCTATAATATGTGGGTTCTTTGATTTTAGTAGTAAAATTGTTTTTTTGTGGTAAGGAATGGTAGGGAAGTAAGGCAGCATTTTGGACACGGTGGTAAATAACTGATTTCTGATGTCATAAAATGGACAGTTAGAGATGAAATGAATTTCGTCTTCCACTGCATTTGAGGAGCAATATTTACAAATTCTCTCCGACACAGGTAGTTTCATATATCGCCCTTTTTCGATTTCCAAGGAGTGGGCACTGATTCTAATTTTACTAATAGCGGAGCGCTGATCGAAGTCACAATGTTCTAGGTATTGTTCTAAACAGTATTCAGTTTTACATTTTCTATAGAATCTCAGTTTACCGGTATTAACAGACAAACTATGGAAGAAAGTTTGAATGTACATGTCTGAAAGCCTTGTCCTTAATACTTTATACATATGTTGAGGATCACAGGTTGTACTATCAATATGCAGTAGGTAGGAATATCCACAGTGGTCGAGGATCTCCTTCACTCGCTGTAACAATGTCCGTCTACGACTATATGACAGGGAATTACGTTGTAACAGGAGTGCATCAACTTGCAGAGGGTGTGTATCGGTATTAATATGCAGGCTATTCTTTTTTTATGGAACACCAACCACTGTACATTAGACAACAAGAGTATATGTACATTGTTGAAGAGAATACTAACTGATATGTATGTTCAAACGTTCTTTCACCAATTGTCTGTAGATAACGGCAAGCTAAGATTTTACAAGACTCTCAAATCCAACTACTCTATGGAGAAATACCTATACCACAATGAATTTGCCATGTGTAAGATTAGAATAAATGCGCATCCACTAGAAATAGAAAAAGGCCGGTATAGAAAACTACCTGTGCACGAGAGTCTATGTAAATATTGTACAATGAATGCAGTGGAAAATGAAATACATTTTGTTAGCCAGTGTCCTCACTATGAGACCGAAAGAAACAGATTATTTCAGAAAGTTACAAGAATTTCTCCATCCTTTCGTCATTTAGAAGATCACCAAAAAACTGCATGTCTACTAAGATCACAAAACCCACTTATTATGCAGAATGAGGGACTATTCATTATCCACTGCCTTCAAAGAGGAAGTCGAACCCCATAATAGCTAGCGTAGTAGTAGAAGTAGAAGTTTTTTCCAGACAGTTGATACCTGTCTCCCTACTACAGAGGGATGACAAAGCGGTCCTCGTCAACCTGACGGACGAACGACACCTGTCTCCTGTTACTGTATTGCAATGTGTTTTCATCATCTTCGGTACTGCTTAGCCTTCTAAAAAGAAGATTACTAGTAGCTGCGCATTAGTACTGTGTGCAAAGTGCAAACAAAGGGTAAGGTGGGAATGGACGTGGACAAGTGCAAGGACAGGACAAGTGAAATCAGTGGTGCTAGTGTTACTCGTATTTACATATGTACAAGGACCGGGAGGCAGCTCAATGCAGCGAAGTCCGTCCCAGCTCTGCTTTGAACTGGGAGATGGACTTCGCCTCCGCCACACTGGGCTCAAGTTCATTCCACTCCTTGATGGTGCGAGGGAAGAACGAGAGCCTGTAATAGTTGTTCTTACTCGCGATGGTCTGCAGCTTTAAAGCGTGATTAGTGCGGCGGGAGCATCGAGCTGCCGGGACGAGGCACGAGGTGTGGGGGACAGAAATGGTGTTGTGCAGGACTTTGAACATTGTGGTCAGTCTGGCCATTTTGCGGCGGTGTTCAAGTGACTGCCATCTCAGGTTACCTAGCATCTCTGTTACAGAGGCCGTGCGTCTGTAGTTGTTGTATACATACCTGGCAGCTCTACGCTGCACTGCCTCCACTCTACCTACCTGATCGGAAGTATGGGGGTCCCAAACTGGGCAGGCGTTTATTCTTGATTGTAAAAGCAATTAGCCTTCGGGCATGATTTTGCGAATAAAGTTTAAATTAATATTTTTGTTTGTTTCAGGATGTCGGTGAGAATACGAACATGACCATTATCAACAGCAGAGTGTTAGACAAAATGGATAGAGTCGATTTTGACCCCCAATGGATAATTTCTCGGAATAACTCCATAATGAGCTATACACTCGGCATACACAGAAACCTTCCTGCTTTAAACACGATGATAAGGAAGTTGGATCTTAACATCACAATGACGTATTCGGTGACTCCACCAAGACGTCATGTCAAAACGTGAGTGTCTCATTATGAAATCTTCCTTCCTTCCTTTCTTTTTCTCTTTCTCTTTCTTTCTTTCTCTCTCTTTCTTTCTCTCTTTCTCCCTTTTTCTGTTTGTCTCTTTTTCTCTCTCTTTCTTTCTCTTTTTTGAAAAAAGAAAATTTGCGAATTATTTGTTAACGGTGATGATACGTTGACTGTACTGTAGTGACCGCGAAAAATGCGAACATATATGTACCACGAAAAAATCAGTTACAGTGTCTCTATCAAATATCACCCAATCAAAAATTGTCTTGCATTTAGGTTCTGGAATGAGAAGTACAACAGTAACCTTTCCAATGGGGTTACAACTGGCGGACTCAACACCTACACCCTTGCCAGTACATTTTGTGACGTCATCACCGTATATGGCTTCTACCCATATCAAACGGATGTTCACAACAAAACAGTATATTACCATTACTTCGACGAGACGCCCATGGAAAAGTCAGTCAACAGAAGTATACATGATTATTTTCACCAGCATGAACTTTTAAAATCACTACATGGCAGTGGGGCACTTAAGTTGGTAACGGATGTATGTAAATAATGAATCGACGAAAGATAATTTGCGGACAAAATGCCGAAAATTTACCCCCAAAGTTGGAGAGAATTCACGCACAACACGCCGCACAAAAGCGTGGTCACACTAGCTTGCTGCCTGCAGCTGGTCGAACGGACCGTACCATGTGTGATTATTGCATAGGGGTGCCAACGAGATTAATCTTTATTGCTTTTGATAAGTAACCATGATCACCATTCCGCCACCAATGAAAAGTAATTATTCTAGTCGCCCAATTTCGGACTTGTTTTCTGTGCCAAAACTAACAATTAGGATACCTTCTGCCACAACTAATGTTTATATTCCCAAAATGGATGCCCCCCTCATTTGTTAATAGACATTGCGAGTGTGGATCTTTCCTTGGTGCTGAACTCACCATCCGTTCCATGTATTAAGTATTGCAGTTGTGGGAGTTGTGGCCTCAATACTGTACTAGACGCTTTGGTTTGACACAACAGCATACCCATGGAAAAGCGTGGGATTGACGTATCTTAGTACATATATACAGTATATAGTACATTGAAGCGTGGATATCAACAAGATCTTCATTTCATCAAGTCACATACATTTTCTGAGGATTAAGAAAAAGTAACAACAGGGTTTACGGAAAAACCCGGGTGCCTGCCAGGCCAGGCTACTACAATATCAGGTATCATTTCTTGCTTAACAAGTTTTCTAATGTAAAATACCAATACCAATTCTTTTATTATTTTTTTTTGCAGGGACTTCATTCCGTGGTAGAATGGAGATTTTTAAACACAGGCAAACCTGTCCTTGGTGCTGAACACCTTCCACACAAAGTGAAATCAATTTTCAGTTTTAATGGGGTACAAAAACAAGTCTCTCCAATTTCGTCCATAATCAAAAGGGCTAAATGTCATTTAACACAGCATTGGAAATTTTTACGAAAATAATAAATGAGTGTTTTTATCTCTTTTATTAACCCTCATATGAAATGAAGCTAGTCTAAAATTTCTGCATAAATTATGCAAGTGAGGTCCTGATTGGAATAAGTTATGTTTGATGATGTTCATGTTTACTTGACTTCCAAATGCCACAAGTATGAAATTGCAGCCATTTATCAGAATAAAATTATAGAATTTTCTCATTAATTATGCAAATTGGGTCATTTTTGTTAGTTGTTCCAGAATTTGAGCTGGTTAGTTCTATTTCCTTTGCACGGTTCAAATTTCTTAGAATTCCTTACAAATTTCTGGTGGAGAGGAATTCTTAACATTGATCTAACAATCACGCAATCCTCCGCGGGCATCATGATGCATAGCGGCCACAGTCATGTACAGGTCCCGTTAGGTTGATCTGTCACCGGCACAGACCCTCCAGTTGTCTCTGGCACCCAGCTCCCCAAGTGTGGGGAAGAGCTGGTCTTCCCATCTTGCCCTAGGGCGGCCCCTTGGACGTCTCCAGGTTGGGTTATGTTGTGAGGTCGACAGTTTGATGATGTCCTGGGTAGGAACAGCTTGAGACACGTCGTGGGGTGATTTGGCGTGGTGGCAGAGTGCTCGACTCGAAATCAAGAGGTCCTGGGTTCGAGTCCTGACATGCCACCGATCTTGTGCCCTTGGGAAAGGCACTTAACACGACTTTCCTCACTTAGGTCAGGTGAAAATGAGTATTGTATTGTCCCGTGTTGGTGGCGGGATTAATATAAGTTGAAAAAACTTGAGTGTGCCGTCACCACGTCTTGTGATTATATGTTGGAATATATGCCCCAAGAAGGTCATCTACTGCTTGATGATCCTGCGTGTTACTGGTGGCTGGTTTGTCCTAAGACACTGATCCTAAGACATTGATCTAACATTGATCTAAAATTGCAGCGTTTCCTTACAATAATACAGTATATACACATATGCGAACCATACAAATTTATTTTAGATTATATCTAAATATCTCCATACATTTCATACATTATAACATATGAACAGTTCCACTTTGAAGCTCCCGTGACATAATTTTACAGTAAACTATCATTTTTTTCTGGTACAACAGACAAATATATATTTCAACCTGTTACACAAAATGAAGCATCTACATGTAAGGTGAGCTACACAAATGTAAAATACAGAATCATGTAATAATATTGTCTGTACAAAAGGTAATAAAACACAGATCCAAAGTAAAAGATCTAGAATTATCCATAGGGCTTTTGGACTGACTACAAAACAGAACTAAACACATAGGAAAGTCCTATTTTTGTATACAGCAAAAAAAAAAGAGGTAGAAAAATTCTAAACATTGTCTATTTGACATTAACCCTACAGTGTTATACGACCACAACTTATTCAATTACAGTCAATATATAAGAAAAACAATAATGTATATATAGTTTGGCTGACAATAAGCAAACCAATGTTGGTATTGTCTAAAATGTTTGTTTTCTGTAACTAAAATTCTCAATATACAGGACTGTAATGATAAGACTAGTTTGGGAAATAATAGTAAGCAATACAAGTATAAAATGCTTTATAATAGAACTCTCCAGAAAAACAACAACAACTTATAATATACACAATATGTATAACATTAATAAAACTATAGAGAACCAACAGAAAATTAACTTACTCGTTTAAAAAAAAAGCTGAAAATAAATAACATTTAGCTGCTATAATTTAAAACGTTCACAAAAACTTGAATTATTACCATTACCTATAAAAGTAAATGTAAAACATATCTTCTTTCAAAGCTAAACCACAGTTGCCACTAAAAAGCATTTTGAAGTTCTCGTACACTTCAAAAACACAAAAATAACAGTTTTAACTTTAAAATCTACCAGTTTGTACATATTATAAAGATTTTACAACAATCTAAAATCTAAACATATTCAATGACAGTATCATTAAGTTGACTTGTACTTCAGAAAGAAATTCTCCAGAAGAAAGTTGTTATACTATTGACAGTTATGAAATCTGAGATCGTAAATTTTTTTTAAATATTTGTATTGATAGTAATATTACAGTTAGTGTACAAGGTGTCAACACGTCTTAGGAATAAGACAAATTTGTTTTGCAAAAGTTACCAATTTTGACCTGAAAGTGCCATATTTTACATGTGCCTAACAGTGCCTTACATTTGCCTTTCTTTGGTAAAATAAGGTTATATAAAAACTATATAATGTTAAATTGATTCACACCTTGATGAAACTATATGTATACAACATGCACTGTTGACAAGGCAAGTACATGGAATACAAATTATCATACAACTACATACATTTTCAAGGGTTCTGGTTGACAACATAACTTCATCTTTGTTCATTAAATCTACTTCCACAAATTTAAAGGACTAATATATAGATATTGGCAATGACAATTTATATCTAAGTACAACTGCCATTTAAATGACTGTGAGTAAAAGTTTGAGAATTTCAGTCTGTGAAAGATTCTGTATGAGTCTGAAGTCTGTGATTTTAAATGTTAGTACCCTGATTTTGCATTTCTGAATAAGATTTAGGCTTAAGAGACCTCAAATTGGATCTAAAAATTTTAATCATGATTTTGAGAAGCTACAAAGGCTATATATACTATATATACATGTATGTGAAACACTGATTTGATTTTGTGAGTGAAATATTATTACACTACGCAATGCAACAAATTGAGTGTTAAGTGAGGTAGTTAAAAAGCCTCCTATAAATACATTGTAGCATGTTGTACCATACATGTAATGTAACTAGGCTTTCCAAATGTGATTTTGGTAAAATCTTAATATAAAAGTATAATATAAAGAAAGGCACTATAAATTAAGTTAGCTTCAAACTTCATTTGATGTCAGCCCTTAGGAATGCCAGGGATCGAACCCACAACCTCTCGATGTTGTGTTCACTGGCCTTGCCACTTGGCTACTTGAGGTCACATTGCCAAAGGCACTGCAAGTTGGCTTTTTAAACTTTGTTTGAGGTTGGTAACTACAGTGGAGTTTCTGCTATACAACATTCAGCCAGGAATGCCGGGGATCGAACCCACAACCTCTTGATCTCATGTTCATTAGCCCAGCCACTCGGCCACTTGACATAACAAAGGCACTGCATGTAAGACCCCATTCACACTGACAAAAAATTATTCTGATTGATCATCGAATCATTTCAGAAATTATCTATCCGAATTGACAAATGCGTTCACTTTGCTGATCCAAATTGCGCCCGCACTCGAAAGGATTAAGGAATGGTGTTTGTTGCACATCGTGTCATGCTACCGAAGCAAGTCGGAAGCCAAGACATTTTGCATTCACATTCGCAGTTTGGTCGAATCCAGTCCACCGCAAATATGTTGAACTACCTCTGGAGGTGGTTTACTTTTTAATCATTTCGGACAAAAGGGAACATCCACACTGCAAAAATGAACCATTTTGCTGATTTTTTAACGACTCAATGATCAATCCGAATCATTTCTTAGTGTGAACAGGGTCTTGGTTGGCTTTTTAACTTTGTTTGAGGTTGGTTACTACAGTAAAGTTGAGTTTCTGTTATACAAAACTCTCCTGTAGAGATGAACAGATGAGGTAGGAGTCGATGAGTCGTGGTTGGACCAGCTGGATGAGGTCTTCCTGGGAAAACTCATCCTCACCACAGACACTAGCCAGCTTACGGAGGGTGGCCTGGAGAAAAAAAAAATCTTTATTTTTATTTTGATACCCTTTAGCCCAAAAGGCTAATCTTCCTGAGCTCATACAGAAATAAAAACACATATTATACAATGTACAGATAACACGGTAAAAAAAATTTTAGTAAAAGAGCTGGCTTAAAAAGAGCTTAGTAGGTAGAGTGATCACTTTGTATTTGGTAGATTGCAGGCTTGAATACTTAGATACAAAAGTACTTAGCTATAGCACTTTGTAAAAGAGATTTAAGTAGTTATGCACACAGTACTACAAGTAGACTCGCCCAATCGATGTAGTCCAAAAATTTATGAAAAGAAACAACAACAAAAACTTACCAGGCAAGCAACTAGGACTGAATCACTGTAGTTTCTCTCCTTTGGCTTTCTGCATAGTTCCACTAGTCTCTGTAAGCCTGTACCAATGACAACAAAGAAAACGTCCACAAACTTGATTTATTTCTTTATTTAATATTTACTTATGAAAATTTACCACATTTGTATAAGGATTGATATAACAGGTGACTATCACCTCTTCAAGTCAATGTCAAACCTGAGACCAGACTGTAAGGTTTGAACCACTCACACCAGGAAGGACCCCTGCTCTTTTCAAAGTGTGGTGGGCTCTTTAACGTGGTGACCTTACCACTGCGAAATCATGACACCTGTTATCCTACTGAATTGAAGAATTGTTCCAAATAAATGTTCTCTCCAATCACATAAAACCACTGCAAAGTAATTTACAGTAAGACTTCCAAACAGTTTGAAACAAAACTTCAACTTGAAGTTCACCCTGACAGGGGCTGATGTCGTCTATCAGAATTTATTACATTTGACCCAGTGTTGACGTAACGTTTAAAAAAAGCCATGTGACAAGCCTCACTGGGTCAGTCTACTGAAGAAGACCGAAAGAAGAACAGAGTGACTGGTCAAAAGCTCTTGGTGAGAGAATTTCTTTGTGTTGGATCAAACCAAGGACATTATACACACGACAGATATAATGTCCTTTGACCCAGTGTTGACATAACGCTTAAAAAAAGCCATGTGACAAGCTTCACTGGGTCAGTCTAGTGAAGAAGACCCAAAGAAGAACTGGTCAAAAGCTATTGGTGAGAGAATTTCTTTGTGTTGGATCAAACGATTTTACTTGAAACAAAGCTTCACCTTTTAGTTGCTTGACCACTCCTGCGGTGATGACGTCCTTACACAGTCTGGCCAGCGCGATGGCTGACTTCTGCTGGACCCGTTCGCAGGCCACCCGTTCTGTCTGCTTGTTGTACGGCGGCTTCTCGTGTAAGAACCCGACCAACACAGCCACCCCATTGCACTGTATGATATCCTCCCGACACTGCTCCAACATAGCAACGTTGGCTAACACTGTACACAACTGGACACAAACATACACACTGTTATTAAGACATGAAAAGTGATATTGAATGGCATTGAGCTCACTGAAAAGATAGTCTTGCAGTGGTTGTGACAGAGAAGAATTGCCACATGTACATGTACTAGGTACAGTATACAAAGGTTTGTTATACCGGGGAAATTCCCCTAGCAGGGCTTGAAAGACTTTCTACTGCATAACGCAAGGTTACCAGTTTACGGTCGAATTATGGAAAATTCAATTTTTTGTGAAAACGCATGGGCAGAACTAAATATTCAACCCATGTGAAGAAACAGTAGTTCGTCGGTTATAGAAGTGTGTGCCGTGTCATTTCTTCCCTGCGTTTTTTTGTGCCGTGCCAGCTTTTATTTATTTAGTAGTTAACAGTGGAGAATTGCTCTAGGGTGACCAATTAACGGTCACTTGGACCTTTGTCCTTGTAGTGCTCTACGTATAAGCGCACATAAACAAACACTTTCTGCAAAAAAATACCGAAGTGGTCAACAACAAACCACGGTAAAATGTCAGTGTGTAGCCCACTGTCGCATGCAGTAGCGCTGTGGTGCTAAATGAGGCTGGACCTGCATTTTTCCCTTAGTAGAACGTGATATAATGGCCCAAGATGTTCCATTAAACCGGTGCAATAGATAACAAGCGTCTATGCCCCTCCAGACACAACGGAACGTCGTGAAAACCCGAGCAAACTTTTTGCTACGGACGCAGGAAGCCATTTTGGCATTTTTGCATAAATTAATGTGCAACAGCGCCACAGTGCGACTTTTATGTACCTTTCTGCAGTTTAAAACCGTGACGTCACCTGATGCAACGATGATGATGATCAAAATGGCGTTCGAAAAAACGCTAGTCGGCGAGAACTGCCACTGTACTTTTGCTTGTTTATTTCAAGGTGTTTGAAAGTTTCATACCTCACAACACCATGGATGATTGAAATAAGAAAGCCAGGTTTGATGCCAGCTATCGTTACAATTTCCTAGCATTCTTGGGATTTTAAAATCATATAAGGATCATATTCATGTTATTCTTTGTTGCTCACGACCGTTGATTTTTGGCTGGTACACCTCGAAGCGTGGCCGTGTCACTAACTGACCGTAAACTGGTCCTGCACGTAAACTGGTAACCTTGCGTTACCTGAACTGATTTAGGTACATGTAACATTGAAAACTACCTGCACCATACAAGTTTTACCTGCACAATCAATTTAGGGATCACACTAGAAATAAATGTCAATAAAAAGTATTTTCCAAAATCTTGAAATTCTTCATACTGATGTCATTTGTGTTATGTCTATATGTTTGTATTGCTCCAAAGATTTTTTTTCAAAGTTAACACCATATTTTATCACAGTTATGACTAGAGATTACAGCACACCATTGCATACATAGCATGAAACTTTTTCAACAAAACCAGTGCTAAAAGAATTTACATTGTTGACAAGGCTCAAGATTTCAAGCACAGAAGCTTTCCGATGACATACATGTATATGTACACATTCAAAAAATGTCTTAAGAAAGAGTCACCTGATCCTTGATGAAGATGGAGGACACTTTAAGACGTACTGAGGAGGTTACGAGAACCCGAGCAACCTGGTACCTGGCCAGGAACTCTGATGCCATGGAGTCCAGGAACGTGATGTTAGCGATGGCTGCTGAGCCCAGGAGAAACACCTCGGGAGAACTGGCTGTCTCACACAGTCCTGGGAGGGGGCAATGTCATGTTGAATATACAATATCTGGCAATTCTGTACAACTAATTGGTCTGATTATATTTAGTCTTTCTTAATATGTCTGAATATATATGCAAAGATGTACAGAGTACCTGGTCCAGTAGGTTAAGTATATTGTAACATGCTTATTATCATAGAGTTTGTAAAAATTCAACACGATTCAGAAATACATGTAACTTTTTTATGATAAATTGAAATATCTGGCAAGTAGCTCCAGGCAAGTTAAAAACACAGTCGTTCAATTTTTATTTGAGTGTATACAATTTATTTTTACCTCAAAACTAAAACATGCTAGCTATATGACTAACAGGGAGTGCACGTTCAAACTCATGGTGCTTGTTACTAGTTGTCAGAGAGCGGTCAGGTTTTCATGAATGAATTTTGAAGACATTCAATGACATGTAAAGTTCAACATACTCTGATAAAAAATGCATCCATACTGTTCATTAGCCCATTTAGTTCATTATTCTGTTAGATTGTTTCATGCATGTACCTTCATGAATGTGGTATGCTAGACAGTGTGTCCTACATGTATACATGTAACTAACTTCATTAACTACTGATGGAAACTAAAAAATGGGTGTGAACTTTTTATCATTATTGTTGTCACTAAGCAAAACTGATTTAATTTCAAACTTTAAGGTTTTGTTACCTATAAGTCCCCTGAGGAGGTCCTCCATGTTCTCTATAAATCCAGACACATGTCTGTAGTGGTCCAGCATGGGGGATGTGATCTGTGCCACCACTCCGGCCACCTCTGTCCTCGTCGCCTCTGTGGTCAGCGGGTCACACAGGATGTCCGTCAAGCACCCCACACCGTCAACCTTAAATACGACAATATATTCAAAAATAAATCAGAGTTTTCAAACTGCTGGGAAGTAAAATAACAATAAATTTAATTTGGTTTGCATTCATGCATATCATGGAATGGAGTGTCAGTGTGTCACTCTATCTTGTTTGTCTAAGGTATTGACTTGCGTGAGACTTGGATTATAAGACAATATTATCATGATAATATTATGATTGTATAATACATGTACAATGTATTACTTATTACATACGTATATTCTCCACTATATATATGGTCTATATCTTATACTATGATTACACCATTTCCTGGCAGCCAGAATCTAGACTAAGTACATGTATATAACAGACCCTTAATGGCTATCACACCGTTTGATATAACGCATGTATAGCCAGCCGCCGCGTCGTGTGCCTGTGAAGCTGGTGTGTTACAGCTATACAGATACAGAATACAGATAAGGAAAATCATATAAGCATACCTTCTCTACTTCAGCTATGGCTTCAGGTACAGAACATAATGTGGCCACAGCTCTCAGAGCCTGGGACTTGACAAAGTTGGCAGTGTCTTGTCTACAGATGGTGAACAGGGCTCGAACACCACCCTCCTAAGGAACACAGGAAAAACAGTCATGTAGCTATCATGCAGGTTTATATGATTTGCCTAGTACTTGATTTTTAAAATGATTTGCAACAAGTACAAAAAACTTAGCCCTTGTCCTGCTGACATTCCTGGCACAATATTTTTCAATAATTTCATGTCTTAATTAGATCATAGACCCCCAATTTTTTTTGCCCTGCAGTGGCATTAGTTACTTCCACATTCGTTGCGTTTCGCTGCGGTGTGATGCGTTGCACAAGAAATACCCCCAAATCGTACCTATACAGGGTGCTACATAGATGGTACTGTATGTGCAGAACGACATATGTTGCGCTCGGCAGGACAAGGGTTAAAATATGCACGTAATGTATAAATAACATTCAGATTCTGTCCCCCGCCACCCATGCTCATATTTTGACACAAGCAGTTGAAGAAAGTCCTTGTCTCTTTAGTTGCTACAGTTTTTTTTACCTGCAGAGTTTGGGCACAACTTTAAGGCTTATGTCTGAAGCTCCCCCATACACATACACATACACAGGGCTGCCCACTTTGTCACCATCCAAAATTACTGCAGTCTCTCAATACAATATCCAAGCTGAACCAACCCAGGGATCAAAGTCACGCCAACACCTCCACAGAATTTTATCATGGTCAATCTGATTGCATTATCGATTGCCCCGCATGCATTTAATTCTGTATAACACAGTAAACCCACCTGTGGTCAGACTGGTACCTCAGGTGATATGGAATGCACTGTGCTGTGCTCTATATTATCATATAGCCAGATGACGTCGACCAATCAGAAGGCTCCATTTCCCCCATAACCCAAGTCATTAATATCCGATATACGGACCTGCGGGTCCGTAACAGACGCTACCATTACATGACAGGGTGGTGTTTTCTTCTAACCTACTTCTAATTCTAAAGACCTTTCTGATAGACTTATTTATGTAGAGTAGTAAATTAATTTAGTTTTGATAGAACTGCTGAGTTGTCGTCAGATGAAGTAAAAGCGGTGTTTGGGGCAACCGCAGAGATGGATTTGGACAATAGTGGTGGAGAAACAGTTGAGGAATTCGAAATTCAGCGGTAAACTTCACCGATAAATTTAGTTCATATCTCAGTGTAACTTTCAGCTTTAAATAATTGGTTTGCTGCGATGGGAATTCACATCAATGCAAGATAAAAGATCTATATGTTACACAGAAGTTGTTTCTCTTATGTGTCAGCTTGATGACCCTTGATGTACATGCATATGTGACAATGTCTATATGATAATAATGTTAATGACCCGCTTTCCTTCGGTGTATACGGTGTCATAATTCATGGCCGGTTCCTATAACCACCTCATAAACGACCTCGTCCGCTCCGCGGACTCGGTCGTTCATTCGGTGGTTATAGGAACCGGCCATGAATTATGACACCGTATTCACCTCAGGGCGGGTCATTAACCCTATATTAACCTACACGTACCTTGACTATGAGGTGGCACATCTGAGGTTCTCCCTGAGCCACGCCCACCAGACTGGTGATGGAGGCCTTGATGCAGTAGGCACTGGGAGAGTCTGCCACACCCTCAACTATGATCTGTAAGGAGGAATAAAAGAATGAATTTCACCAAGGTTAAGTCAAAAAAGAAAACTTAAGTTTTCATGGTCCTTTCTGTATAAAGAAAATATGACTTTTGATACCAGACTTGTATTGTGACACTTCTAACATATTTTTCAGCTTTTTAGCAGATTAGAGTATCCATTATTATCAATAATAGATTATAATTTTAATTAGTATATACCTGTACATGTTAACGTTATATACATGTATGGAGTTAGGCAGTAGGACAAAGGTTTAAAAATGATACGGTACACAGTAACACCCATATTATATAAAATCATAACAAAACAAAGATTTAGAGCCTGTTACATGTATTTTTTCTTGACTACTAAATGATATAATTTGTAGTAACCCACTGCCTCCGTAAGGATATGGGACCTTTACCTTTACCATTCTTAAAGAATGATAAAATGGTATTTGGAGTACATGTACATGTATATTATAAATACATATTGTGTACTGAGACTCACCCTAACTTCATGAGCCAGGACCTTGTCTATAAGCCGTGTGAAAGCCTGACCCAGGCACGTGAGGGAGTGGACCATGGGCAGCTTCTGGGGCTTTTCTCCATTGATCTCTCCAATACTGGGACGGCAAAACAAATAACATCAAAATATGAAGTGTTACTTTTTTGGCAACTAGCATATAATCAGTATGATCGCTGAATACGTAGACATTTTTTATGATTTTTCTGTTGTTGAAAATGTAACAACGATGCATTGTAAACAAGACCCTTGACCACCCTCCCTTGAAGTTGAACTCTTGAATTGTGGCTAAAGCAGGTGCACAGCTCCAAATTTGGGTGCACTAAGGTGCACATGCACCCAGTATTTCGAGCCCTGAATGTCAGCCTTTATAGCTTTCATTCACTCCCCATAATTTATACAAATGTATTGCACGGATTGTGGGGAGTGGATGAAAGCTAAAACAAGTAAAATCTGAGATTTTATACCTCCGGGCTTTTTATTGTATATTTTTATATGTTGTTTACAACAACAATTGTTGCACGCCGCAGGACTAGGGTTTTAAACAAAGAATTTATTGAGACTGGACACCCCTCTGTGCGAGGGGTCACAAATTGTGGACAAGGCCAACAATACACGCGAAAGGTCAATGGTCGTAACCACTTTCACACTCAAGGGGGTGTTCTAGGGCCACCAAAAGGCACCATTTTCACACCCGAAAACACATATACAATAAAAACAAAAGAACGTGCATCATCTACAGCCCAATAGCAAAACATACACCGAGTCCCAAAAGAATCCGTCCACCCAAACGCGAGAAACAGCTGCGAACATGAAAATCTAAATCTCTCACAAAACCCTTCCGCAGAAGGATGTATCCTCCCCCGGAGGTAAAAAGCTGACAGTCAGGCTACAAGTACATTGTATATTCCCCCTACCTTTCCACATGTTTAATGAGTTGTGCACACTCCTCCATGACCACTTGTTGTTGCTGGAACACGTCTATGGCCAGGTTTGGGCTGTGAGCGCTGATGTCATGTAGGAGTGACCGGATTGTGCACGTAATTCTTAAGGCGTTGCTGTGAACTTTCTTCCACCTCTCTTTGTCAAGTTTACTGTGGAAAAATGAAACAAAAAGAAATTTTGAAATTACAACTGTACATGTATATCCACTGTATGTGACCAGGTGACCACCTCTACTCAATACCTACTAGTACATATGTACCTCTACCTCTACATAATGACCACAGGAATCTTAATGCCTTTTGTACCAGCAAAAAGGGTAACGTTGACCAGGTCCAGTGTTATGAACTTAATATGAAATTTTGTCAGTCCTCTGAGTGGTCCTCTTGGGCAATTTTAACAGATATGTTTAGCCTTAATGTTTATCGATTTAATTCTAGTTACCCTAGTATTTCTTATATTTAATTTTTTATTGTAACTTGATCGACAATGTATTTATGTATGTGTCTATTGTGTATATTTGTGTATGATGTCGCAATATCAGCTATCAGCTGCCTGGCGGCAACATTGTATTGCCATGTTGAAATTTCAAATAAATAAATAAATAAATTTTGACAGTATTTCCAGAGACACTTTTTCTTGCTTACAATTTTGCTTTGTATCAGCATATAGGACCAATCTACACAGGGCAAAAATATCTAAATACCAAACATCACTAGAAGATTATTTGATTTAAAGAAAAATCAACTACAACTACAAGCTAGATTGACTACACAATCTAATAATAATAATAACACAAATGTATAAAACCAATTGCAAAATAATCATCTTTACAAATATAAATTTCAAGGATGAAATGATGTGAAACAGGACTGACTGACACAAAAAATGCTGGTCAAGTTGCGGTGCTCATTTGCATATGAAATGGACGATGACTCTTAACCCATGCCTGGAGCACACTTGACTGGAAACACCTCTAACGTTACCAACCAGCCTATTCACAGGGAAACTGCCGATGACAGACATACAGATAGATGTGGTCATGTACATCTGGCCATGAAGTTGGCACTTTTAAAAAAGGAGCACCAAAGTTAGAAGGAGGGTGCAATTTTCGATCATTTCAGGAAGTAAAAAAATGACTTGTACTTAAATTGTATGCCAGACTGTATACCTATTTTGGGGCATTTATAGTACTCTTGAAAACATTCCAAATACCCTCTCAACAATCCTAAAATTCTGTTGTGTTGCTTTTGGAATAAAGCTTTAATTTTGTAACTGTTAAGTAATTTATATATAATCATGAATATTGTTAAATTATAATACTTACTGAAACAATTTGGCACACTCTGCTGTGATGATATGAGCCCTTTTTCTCACCATCTTTATGTGTTCTGAAATAAACAACAAATTTCAGACAGATTATTATATTGCTATGTACAACATTGATACAATGTACACCCAGAGATTTTTGTTTGTTTGAACCATTCTTTATTCATGAGAAGCTTAAATCAACCTGCAGGCCGCTTTTCATCGAGGTCATGAGAGAAGAGGTATTTATGTCATACCTGGGTTGAGATAACGTTCGATACGGGTGTTCCAGGCCAGGCCGTACTTTACGGTATCTTCATCTTCATCTTTGCCGGGACTCAAAGATGTTATGTGAGCCCCGGCTACAACCCCATATAGCCCCTGATGGGGCACTTTAGGGGGAGGAAGGCCTTGGTCTAAGGTGGGCAGGCCTCCAGCCTGGCCCGGAAGGACTCAACGGTGGGAGCCATAACTACCGGGCCAGGCAAGGCGTTCCATTGGGGGATTGTGCGAGGGAAGAAGGAATATTTGTAAGTGTCTGTTCAGGTATGGCCAGGGCTTCTTTACGCATACGGCCCAGGCTTCCATAGAACAATTTGAGCGCGTTTCGCCCTAACCACATGCACCGCTTTTGAAAATTTGAACACAGAATTCGTACACACTGGAACTTAAGTTGTTGCGTTTTTGGGTTTAGGGTCACCAAATTTTGCCTCATTTTGCATTGAAAGACATGTTTTCTTGGGTGGATATGACATAAATAAAATACAACACGGTGTATTCCGCATCACCCTCGGTCCCAGCCCTCCCGCGAGTCGGATCGCGGTCAGGCCGATACCTCGGGCGATATGGAATACAACGTGTTGTATTCTATGTATACAAGGGTCAGACTTAATACAGAATATAGTTTAGTACATAATTTAAAGTCCTAATAAAATCTATACAGATATTCACTGATGTCAGAGTCTGAAGTAAATACCTTTGGTATTTCTGACAGGAGAAGGTAGTTGTAGTACCTTTGGTATTCCTGACAGGAGAAGGTAGTTCTAGTACCTTTGGTATTCCTGACAGGAGAAGGAAGTTGTACATACCTTTGGTATTTCTGACAGGAGAAGGTAGTTCTAGTACCTTTGGTATTCCTGACAGGAGAAGGCAGTTCTAGTACCTTTGGTATTCCTGACAGGAGAAGGCAGTTCTACGTACCTTTGGTATTCCTGACAGGAGAAGGAAGTTGTACATACCTTTGGTATTTCTGACAGGAGAAGGAAGTTGTACATACCTTTGGTATTTCTGACAGGAGAAGGAAGTTGTACATACCTTTGGTATTCCTGACAGGAGAAGGAAGTTGTACATACCTTTGGTATTTCTGACAGGAGAAGGCAGTTCTAGTACCTTTGGTATTCCTGACAGGAGAAGGCAGTTCTACGTACCTTTGGTATTCCTGACAGGAGAAGGAAGTTGTACATACCTTTGGTATTTCTGACAGGAGAAGGAAGTTGTACATACCTTTGGTATTTCTGACAGGAGAAGGAAGTTGTACATACCTTTGGTATTTCTGACAGGAGAAGGAAGTTGTACATACCTTTGGTATTCCTGACAGGAGAAGGTAGACTGTCCCCATCCTCTGCCTGGATAGACTTGCCCTGTAACACTGTCATACACTCTGTCTCTGTCATCCACCTCAGGTCCTCCAGCCACTGTCTCACTGAGTCAATGTCTGTTAGTACTGGGGTACTGAGGGCAAGACAACAAAGAAATTAAAGATCTCTGTGAAAAGATAGTTGCGACAATTTTTACGAGCCTTGTCTGTTTAGATGACCACAAGAAGACTAATATTATAGTACATTTCTATTAAAATTACAAAACCCACTCTCTCACTATCTGGTTTAATATCTAGTTCTTCCCGGTCTCTCAAGGGTTAAATGTTATCAATATTATTGAGATATACATTAGGGTTAGACTCATTGTACAAAACATGCTTCAATGTCTTAAAAGAAGAAGTCAAACCCCATGATAGTAAACTCTAGTACCTTCGTTATGAGTACACGATATACTATTTAGACATTTGTACACTAGAATCTGATCATACAATACTTGTAATTACTCTCAGTCTATCATTTTACTTTTCTTTCTTTCACACTGAAATGCAATGATAACTTTTTGGGCGTAAATTTGCAAGTTAAAGATTGATAATATTTAGTCAAGTTTGCTGATTTTGTCTAATAAATAATGGCAATGTGCATGCATTTTCTTACTGGCTACAATGCGATAACAGACATGCATGCATAGATATATACACAGCTAGAAATCCTGACACACTCCCGAAATGAGATAAACTTTTCTGGGTTCTTTCGGGACCTTTGACCTAACTTTCTGTCAGTTTGTTGAGAATGTGAAAATAACTACTATAATTATAGAAATAACTCGCCAATTGCGATCCAGCATAGATTCTACAAAACACAGTGTAATCTGTCTACTAACTTCAAGCAATGAAATGTAAGCAAGTAGCACTAAAAACTACACGGACATGTTCGGTTGTTTGTAAAATTCAACCTGTCCAAATTTGGAGACAAGACCAAAACAACGACACTTCCCCTCATCCATGCTTATTAATGTTTACCAACGCATGCAGACATCAACAACTCCCCGTGTCGATAAACACTCGGCGGTTACGCAAATTTGCAAGGTAAACGCGGACGCCTGGGCTGGGTACACAAATCGTGCGTGCGGCTATCGGAAAGAGCTCTGAAACAATTTGTCAAGTCTTACCTTATCTTTGTGTTCTCTGCATTGTTCATATAAGCTGGGAAGGTCATACCCTGGGGGGAAAGTACAGGAATTGATTAGACTCTAGGGTCCTTTGCACCAACATGTTTTCGTTGTCTTTAATCATATACAACTGTTCTGCCAATAATGTCTTAACCATTTTTATTCCAGTGACTACGCTAAGACTGCAGTGTACAAAATCCTTTTTTGAACCAGGTTACCCAGTGGGCAACCTACGGCAAAAATTAGGTTGCCATCAGAATTTTAGGTTGCCCCACCTATACAACATCTAAGTTACAATGTAACTTACTACTTTCCTCAAATTAAGTAATGTTACATAGTTACATAAGACTTTGACAATATTTCTAACAGCCTTTACTTAACTGATACTAGTTATGTCCATTAAATGATTAATACCTAAAATTCAAAAGCATCTGCCGGATACAGTGGTGCAAGCCAAGTGGGCATGATTTTTTTTTTTTGGGGGGGGGGGTGGCATTGTTAAAATTCAGGTAGCACACTGGGCTACCTAGGTTCAAAAATAGGTTGCCCCAAGTAAAATTTGGTTGCCCAGGGCAACTGGGCAAACAGGTATTTTGCACGCTTGACTGCCACATAAAAAGATAAATAGACAAAAGGATGTATCTTTGTCAGATATGTTACATGTAGCATGATCTTAGAATATCTGATATACTGTAATTACGAAAACACTGTAAAGTTTGTATTAAACTTAGAAGAAAAAGGCAGAGCATACAGATTTTTAGCAAAAAATACTCTATTGTCAAAAAAAAAGGAATCACAGTATATCTTTCTTTACACTGTAACAATATCAGGTAGATATAAAATATTGTGAAGTTTCAGATTACAGATTTTTTTAAATGAACAGATGAATTAAATATACCTGATCCAAAAACATTATTCAAAAGCATAGAATAAGCTGCATTACAACAATGCCTTGTGAATATAACTACGTCTAATGACAATCATGCATATCAATATTACATGGGATATATAGACATTTGTAATTCAAGCAAAATGTTAATTACATATCAATGTCTCAGTACATTGTTCATGTGTTTGAGAAACAATGAACATTTCAAGATACGGTTTTGATGTCATTAAGAAGGACCCTGTGACAGACAAGATAACATATTTGAGTTGGTTTAAGCTAAAGGAGGCTTCTCAATCTTATCTGTCTTAAGATGATTGTCTAAACATGGTTGTGTGTTTTGCTGGTGTACCAAGTCTTATCTTAAGTTGATGATCCAGGAATTTAGGAATCACTTCACAATTTTTTTTCACTTGCAGCTGTGACCACTGAGAGAACAAAATTTTGATAGATTGATTCAATGAATTTCATAGATAGAGAACTATTTTGTAATTCTTAAAGGTTAAAATGCATTGTTGTCATTAAGGTCATACTTTTGCATTGTGCATCATATTCTAACAATGAAATCACTGGGTCACAAAATTATTTTGCTTGGTCAACGATCACTCAGCAATTGTCATCTGGTGGAAAGGGGACAGCTAATTGTTTTAGTATTAGTAAAAAAAAATAATTAGGGATATCTACAAAACAACAATTCAATTGACATATACTCTTTACTCTCGATTAAACGTACCGGTACGTTTATTTTTTTTCGCCTTGAAATCCGCCCGGTACGTTCTTATTTTAGACGGTACGTTTATTTTTTTCAGAATCAAAAAAAGTTCCGGGCAAAAAAGTACGTAACTGCAGAGTTAAAATGTCACGAAAGGCACATGTCTGGACGTAAAAAGGAAGTTCCTACTACAAATAATACATTTAAGTCTTTTTGTAGGAGCTTGTTGCGGTATTCTAGCGGGAACTTTTCATGTTTTGTCGTTAGTTCTGCCAGTACGCAAGAGGATCCGACAAGACCGGGGGTGGCCGCTCCGGTGTTGAACGGCCTTGAATAAACTAACTCTCGTGTCCCTTTTTATCTCGGCCGCCTGAGCGGCCGAGATATTGTGCTCCAAAATATGTACGTTGGATGGTTGGATGGATGGATCTTGATTTCGACCGTGAAAAAAAAAACCCAATGAAACCAATTACTCTGCATGTATACTTTACTTTGTGGTGTCGACCTACCGGATGATAGTGTCGTTATTCTGATACAACGAAGTTGCTAAAAAAGAGGAAATGCTGTTTACCACAAAACCATTGTTTTATATCATAGTATGCATTTAATGTTCTAGAATTTCGCTAATAGCTGCTGTAATTGGACCAATAAATCAATGACATAAATTATGTACATTAACCTTCCATATTTGCTTAAGTCGCAAGATGTCGCTTTTGATTGGTGAATAAATCACTGTGACGCACGTAAATATTCACTTGAAATGAGAAATTACCGCCCAACAAAACGGACCATTAGATTCCCAGTGCTGTATTACTCTTTTGTTCTTGTGGTCAACTTGTTTTCTTTGTTTGAATCGCGTAAAAGACCAAGGAAAATACAATGAAATCGGCAATCGGCCCGATCTGCCGCCGCCATCTTGGATTTTTTTGGAAAGCTGCAATTTGGCCCAAACCGCTAGAGGGGGCGAATTAAAATGTTTAATATATTCGGTCTGAAGTTTTAGTAGCTCTAGCAGTAGAGGAGAAGTTTGATAATGCATAGAACGGATAAAATAGAATAAAATTAAATGAAATAAAATAAAACAGAATAAAAAATAAAATAGAAAAATAAATAAAAAATAAAATAAAAAATTAAAAAAATAAAATAAAATAGAAAATCATTGTAGTGGTTACATATACTTAACGTTATATTGTATTTAGCAATGATCATTTAGCAAAAAAAATTCGGTACTGAAACTCCGGTATTCAGAATCAGGTACAGGTACAGGTCCGGACCTGGACCTGATCCTCTGGACCTGGAAGAGCCGAACAGGTACCCACCCCTATTGCTAGTGGTGTAATATGGCTGTAATGTCGACACTGTTTGTTGAGTACTAGTACAGTATATTTATATTCCTAATCAAAAGTAACAGTGAAAGATTTGCCCATACATTGGTATTGAAATAAAGAGCACATTTTAGTACCGTTCACCTGTCAATTTGGTCATTTTCCGGGGGGTACGTTTATTCCGGAGGGTATGGTATATTAGACTTTGAAGATTTGTCCGGGGGGTATGTTTATTCGGGGGGTATGTTTATTAGGGACATGAGAGTAGTATGCATTAAATGTTATAAAGATTTGGTAATAACTGCTGCAATTGCACCAATAAACCAAGTTAAAAAATTACGTTTTAATATTACCTTGAGACATCTGAATAAGTCAAGACGAAGGTTATGGAAGTGCACTATATTCCTCGGTCGCAAGATGTCGCTTTTGATTAGTGGCCTGAATGGAATTTCCCATATCGAAGATCCCGGATGTAACGCATGAGGCTGGTAAGGTATTTACTTAGCAAAAATAGCAAAATATCAGGAATTATAAGGGTATAAGGCATAGAGCCATAGGATAAAATTGGAGCTAAAGATACTACGGGCAAGGGCAATCAATTACATTGTGTTTTATTCGTGCTGTTGAACAGATTTAAACAGAGTTACGT